CTGGGGGTGGGGGGTGTTTTACCTCCCGTGTCCCCCGCGGTCCTGCCGTGTCCCGGCTGCAGGGAGAGCTTACAGCCCGTAAATCCCCCCGGGGGGGAGTTGCGCTGTTGGGATGTGAATTAGCGGCGCTCGCTGCGATTATCGCTCTGTTCCTCTTTCTGTGCTTCCTCTTTGTCCCCTCGCGGAGGGGAATTGGTGGTTCTAAGGGGGGTTCGGGGGCATTCCCATCCCTCCTTCCCAACCGGGGTATTCCTTGGGGTGGAGGTGGTTCATGGCTGCGTTTGGGATAAACCACAGCAGCTGCTTTGGTGTGTTTTGTGCTCGTGTAGCTAAATTTGGTGCAATTTACTGATGGTCGTGGAGATGCTCCCAAGGCTGGAGCCACTCTGCTCTGGAGCCAGGCAGGGAGAGCTGGAGGTGTTCAGCCTGGAGAAGGGAAGCTCCAGGGAGACTTCAGAGCCCCTTCCAGTGCCTCAAGGGTCTCCAAGAGAGCTGAGAGGGACTTGGGACAAGGGATGGAGGGACAGGACACAGGGAATGGCTTCAAACTGACCAAGGGCAGAGAGAGATGGGATATTGGGAAGGAATTCCTCCCTGTGAGGTGCTGAGGCACTGGCACAGGTTGCCCAGAGCAGCTGTGGCTGCTCCATCCCTGGGAGTGTTCCAGGCCAGGTTGGAGCGACCTGGGCTAGTGGAAGATGTCACTGCCCATGGCAAGAGGTTGGAACTAGATGATCTTTCAGATCCTTCCAACCCAAACCATTTGATGATTCTATTATGAATTATAAATCTCTCTGTGCTGCATCAGACATGGGGAATAACAGTTGAGGGGTTTGCTTTGTTTGGGACTCTTTTCTCAGCTATCACAGCTCCCTCTTGCCTGTGCACGTTCCTGGTGAGCTGAATTCTCCAGCATGTAAATAAATGGTTCAGTGAACCACAACTATGCCAACAAAAAAGTGGCAGAAGTGATATTTGTCTTCAATTCAGGATGCAAAGCCAAAGCCTCAGCCAGGAAATGCTGTTGTGTGGGATTCTTTTGGCCTCTGCAGATATGTTTGTAGGTGTGGAGCTCTCTCAGCTGCTTCAGCTTTGTAATCAGGTTTCCTTTTGCTCACAAAACACATCTTAAATCAGGTTTAGAAGTACAATAGAAAACAAGTCTTGGTTGTCTTTTTGGACAATACCTCATGGTTATTCACCATCTACTAATGTCTTTTAGATTAGCAGCTCAAAGATGACTGAAATTTAGTCCCCAAAGGAGGGAAAAAGTTTCTAATCCCATTCTGGAGCACTTAGGAAGTGAGAAAAAACAGGCACAGATATTAAATCAGGAAACTTAGCCAATGAGTCACTGATGGACTGGGATATTTACCAATATCTCTTTGTTATGGCTTTGGAAGGGCAGAGAAACTGGCAGAGAGGGAGGGAAATACTCAGGGACAGGAAGGCAGGAGGAGCCTCAGGTCTCGCTGCTGCTTCTAGGTGAAACAGCGTTGTAGGATCAATGGGTTGGGTTGGAGGGACCTTAAAAACACAGCTTGTCTCCATCTTCTGCTGCTCCTTCACCCTGACCATTTGTCTTACCTTCTGCTCCTCCTTCACCCTGACCACCACAGCCTGGAGCTGCAGCCTCAATGTGCAAAAGAGACTGTTCCAGCCTCTTAATCTCAAACATCTTGATTGTGTTTCAGGTTTATTTTTACTGTCTGAGAAAAAGAGCTGATCTAAGCTGCCTTGGTAAGTTCAGAGATTTTTATCTACATCAGTTTTTGTGAGGTAATTAAACCACTAATGTCAATGTGTTCCTACAGCACATGGCACAGGTGGGTCTGGCTCAGCATTTACCCAGCAATAAGAGTAAGAGCTTCATCTCTTGTGTCAGATCACCTTGACAGACCAGTCAAGGAGTAGGGATCATGCAGCTCTTCCCAGGGACTGGGAATTTCAGTGGCACTACCTGCCACACCCAAGCAATTTGTTAAAACCTGACCCAGGTCATGGCAAACTTAATTTTAGCCCTAAATTGGAGTTTTCTAACGTTATGGGAGTGTTGCTCTGGTCATAACTTCCCGTGTGGAATGAAGTGAAGACCTCAGGTGAGTGAGGATGGCAGTGGTGTGGGGTGAAGGGTGGAACTCTCAGCATCTCCCATGACTTGGGCTTCTCTGCTCTGGCAGGGCAGCAGCTCCGTGTTGGTGCTTGGTCCTCACAGAGAAGGGGTGGCTGGAGCCACCAGGAGCTCACAGGAGCAATATCTGGGGGTGTCAGAGAAGGGGTGGCTGAGCCATGAGGAGCTCAGAGGAGCAGTGTTTCGGGTGGCTGAGCCATGAGGAGCTCAGAGGAGCAGTGTTTGGGGTGGCTGAGCCATGAGGAGCTCAGAGGAGCAGTGTTTGGGGTGGCTGAGCCATGAGGAGCTCAGAGGAGCAGTGTTTGGGGTGGCTGAGCCATGAGGAGCTCAGAGGAGCAGTGTTTGGGGTGGCTGAGCCATGAGGAGCTCAGAGGAGCAGTGTTTGGGGTGGCTGAGCCATGAGGAGCTCAGAGGAGCAGTGTTTGGGATGGCTGAGCCATGAGGAGCTCACAGGAGCAATGTCTGAGGGAGTGTCAGACACTTGAGGCTTTCCATTGTGTGTGAGAGGAGTCCAAGCTCGTCCAAACTGTGCGGAGGTTCTGACTCTGCCCCCAGCAGATCCAGGTTGCTGAGAGGGGGAGCAGGAAGGGGACACGGTCCCCTGTGAGCAGGTTGTTGCAGTGAGCAGTGTTAGAGAAGCTGCTTTTATGCAAGTCGAGGTGACCCCTAAGTGATGATGTCAATATACTGATCTAGGGCTTTTGGCAGTGCTGGGTGGAGCCACACTGAGCCTTGGCTGCCTCTTTTGGCCACAGCCCTCTGTGCACGTGCCAGGTGGGGTGAAAAGTCTAGTTTGCACAAGAGGCCGCACCAGGTGGGCTATAAAAGGAGGTGGATCAGTCCCCCTCCCTCCTGTCTTGTTCCTCTCCTTTGTCTCACTCTCTGTGCTAACACCACATCCAGACCATCCGCGTGGCAGGACCAGCACAGGACCTAAGGTCTGGTGATCTTTGCTCTCTTTCTCTCTTTTCAGCCTTTATTTCTCTCCCCCCTTGTTTTGTCTGAGCAAAGAGCAGCTATTGTGTTCTCTGTCCTGAAGTTTGGGGAGTTGGGAGCATGTGGAATTGCATTGGGGCTTGTTAGCCAACAAACTAGCAACAAGCTGTGGAGAGGTTTGTTGAGGAGTTGGGAGCTGATGGAATTGTGCTGGTTAACAAGCCCCAACACTATTGAGAGGTTTGTTGAGGAGCTGAGAGGTCAAGGAATTGTGTTGGGGCTTGTTAGCCAACTCTACTGAGAAGTGTATTGTAAAATTTAAGGCCTTGTGAGCCAACATTCTTGAGATTAAATCATGGGCTCACTGCCAAAGTTAAGGGGTTGATAGAATACGTGTGTAAGAGGTGCCTGACACATGGGCAGGTGTTCTTGATCAGCACCTTCCAGGAGCTGAAGGGGCTCCAGGAAAGCTGCAGAGGACTCTGTGCTAGGAGCTGCAGGGACAGGACAAGGGACAATGGGCACAAACTGAAGGAGGGAAATTAAGGTTAGATGTGAGGCAGAAGTTTTCCCTGTGAGGGTGGTGAGACACTGTCCCAGGTTGCCCAGGGAGGCTGTGGCTGCCCCAACCCTGGCAGTGTTCACAGCCAGGTTGGCTGAGCCTTGAGCAACCTGCTCTGGTGGGAGGTGTCCCTGCCCAGGGCAGGGGTTGGGGCTGGATCATCTCTAAGCTCCATTCCAACCCCTTAACACACTGTGATACTATGAAGCCTTGATCATCTCAGTGTGGTTCTGAATTCCCAGTAGGTTCTGGGGAGAGACAGAGCCTCTCTCTGTTGCTGCTGAGCTGTTCTGATGGATGAAAACACATTTAGAATCAGTTTTCAGCACATCCATGGTGAAGGTTGTGGGTTCTCATGACCAATCTTGTCCTAGCTGCTGCTTTCATTATGTTTTTCTGGAGTCCAGTAAAAGCTCCAGGAGCTCCATGTCCCTCTGGCCCTGAGGAGCCAGAACTGGACACAACACTCCAGGTGTGATCTCCCCAGGGCTGAGCAGAGGGACAGGATTCCCTCCCTGACCTGCTGGCAATGCTCTTCCCAAAGCATCCCAGGATTCCTTTGGCCTTCTTAGCCCCAAGGACACACTGTGACCCATGGACAGCCTGTTGTCCACCAGCACCCCCAGGTCCTTCCCACAGAGCTGCTCTCCAGCAGGTCAGTGCCAACCTGTGCTGGTGCTTGGGGTTATCCCTCCCCAGGGACATGACCTGCACTTGCCCTTGCTGAGTCTCAGTTGGTTCTTCTCCATCTCTCTAACCTGTCGAGGTCCCTCTGAAGGGCAGCACAGCCCTCTGAGCTCTCACCACTCCTCCCAGTGTTGTATCACCAGGAACCTGCTGAGGAGGCAACTCTGTCCCCTCAGTCCCCCATGGATGAGTAAGTTGAACAAAACTGGTCCCAGTATGGATCCCTGTGGGACACCACTGGTGACAGCCTCCAACCAGGCTCTGTGCCACTGATCACAACTCTCAGCCACTTCCCAATGCCCTTTCCTGACTAGGCTCCTGACACCTGGAGTGTCCCAAGATCCTCCCCACCCCAGGGGAGGCTCAGGGAGTCCCAACACCCAGCCCCACACCCACAGCAATGTGCAATTGGTTCTGCTCTGCTTATCTCCTATTTTCCTCCTATTTCCTAACGGAATGTGATTTTCCTGTGCTGTTTTCCATATCTCACCTGAGGTTTTCTCCCCAGGCCCTGACACTCAGCACCACATGATGCCTCAGCCAGACAACATGACAGAGCTGTTCACCAACCTCTCGTGCCAGCACTCCATCGACGACTTCCGTAACCGTGTCTACTCCACCCTCTACTCCATGATCAGCATCATGGGCTTCGTTGGCAATGGCATTGTCCTCTATGTCCTCATCAGGACCTACAGGCAGAAGACAGCCTTCCAGGTCTACATGATGAACCTGGCTGTGTCTGACTTCCTCTGTGTGCTCACCCTGCCCCTGCGTGTTGTCTACTACGTGCACAAGGGCAACTGGTTCTTCAGTGACTTACTGTGCAGGGTGGTGTCCTACACCCTCTATGTCAACCTCTACTGCAGCATCTTCTTCATGACAGCCATGAGCTTCTTCCGCTGCATTGCCATCGTCTTCCCAGTGCAGAACATCAGCTTGGTGTCAGAGAGGAAAGCTAAGTTTGTCTGTGTTGGCATCTGGATCTTTGTCACTTTGACGAGCTCTCCCTTCCTACGCAATGGGACGTACCAACATGGCAACAAGACCAAGTGCTTTGAACCTCCTGAGAACTCTCAGAAGACCAATATGGTGGTGATCTTGGATTTTATTGCCCTGTTTGTGGGGTTCATCTTCCCCTTCATTGTCATCACCATCTGCTACACCATGATCATAAGGACCTTGCTGAAGAACTCCTTGAGGAAGAACCAGGCCAACCGCAGGAAGGCAGTGTGGATGATCATCATTGTCACTGCCACCTTCCTGGTGAGCTTCACCCCCTACCACATCCTGCGCACTGTCCACCTCCACGTGCTGAGGCTGAAGAACACCAGCTGTGAGGATGCCATCTACCTGCAGAAATCTGTGGTGGTGACCCTTCCCTTGGCAGCTGCCAACTGCTGTTTTGACCCACTTCTCTACTTCTTCTCAGGGGGCAACTTTAGGAAGAGACTCACCACGCTGAGGAAAGCTTCTTCCTCCAGTTTATCCCAAGCCTTCAGGAAAAAGTTCTCTGTGAAGGAGAAGGATGAGGAACCCTTCGAAGAGAGCCAAAGGGAGAATGGGAAGGAAGCTGTGGTCGCTTCATAAGGAGGTTAGATCTTCCTCTAAGGTCTCAGGTGGACAATGGAGATCTCGGGACTCTTCCAGAAGGCTCATGAGCCTCCACTGCAATTCAGTATGTCATAATAACTGTGGACAATCCGTGGTCTGTGGGACTTGGTGGTAGAGCCACTGCTTGGGATGGGCAACTCCCTTGGGACAGCCACAGTCACATAGAAACCACCACCAGAAAACTCTTGTTGTTAGACCTTCCCCTAATATCTCAGGTGGCAGTGGAGATCTCAGCACTCTTCCAGAAGACATGATGGATGGAGGCTCATGAGCCTTTGTTGGTATCCAATATGTCATAACAACTGTGGACAGTCTATGGTACTTGGTGGTAGAGCCACTGCTGGGGATGAGTAGCTCCTTTTCCAGGTGCACTGCTGGGGCATCTACAGCCAGGTAGGACAGAGGAACCACCACCAGAAAACTGTTGTTGTTAGACTTTACCCTAAGATCTCAGGTGGCAATGGAGATCTCAAGACTCTTCCAGAAGACATGATGGAAGCTCATGAGCCTTCACTGCAACTCAGTATGTCATAGTAACTGTCCATGGTTTGTGTTATGTGGTGGTAGACCCACAATGGAGATCTCAGAACTCTTCCAGAAGATATGATGGAGCTTCACAAAGCCTTTGTTTCTATCCAAGATGTCATAATAGATGTGGGACAGTCCATGGTCTGTGATACTTGATGGTAAAGCCACAGCTGGGCATGGGCAGCTCCTTCCCCAGGAGCACTGCTGGGACAACCACAGCCACACTGAGCAGAGGAACCACCACCAGAAACCTGTTGCTGTGATGATAAACTCGGACAAACTCCTTGGAACATATGTTTGGGCCTTTGCTTCACTCGAGGCCTCTCCCAAGAGTGTTAATTCTCTGAGCCAGTGGGAAATGTAAACAGAGTTTGCTGTAGGGAGACCTCGGACAAACAACCAGCTCAGAGCTTTTACTGGAGATTCCAACAGCCACGAAGTTATGTACACAGTAGAGGCCATTCCTGCCCTGCTCCCAGCTGCTTTGGCACTGGATTTCAGTTTCCATGATCCTCACGTGTGTGTGAGGCTCCCAGGGCTGGTGCCTGGGGCTGCAAATCGTAATGGGACACTCTCCAGCCCACAACAAACAGCTCTTTGGACAAACTTTGGTGGCAGCAAATCTGCCAACATTTCCTGAATTCCTAGTAAAATCTTCTCTGGGGGATCAGTTGTGAAATTGCAGCATCCTAGTGTGCAGGAAAACTTGGGAATAAGGATAATAAGTGCTTAAGAGGTGTCTGGATCTGGTGCTGGAGGATATGGTTTTGGGGTTCCAGCAGTGACAGGTTAATGGTTGGACTTGGTGATGTTAGAAGTCTCCTCTAACCTGGATGATTCTGTGATTCTATGTACTGGAATATTGCCCAGGGAGGTGGTGGAGTCACCATCCCTGGAGGTGTTTCAGAGGTGTCTGGATCTGGTGCTGGAGGATATGGTTTTGGGGTTCCAGCAGTGACAGGTTAAGGGTTGGACTTGGTGGTCTTAGAGGTCTCTTCCAACCTTGGTGATTCCATGACAATAAGGACAGTTAGCAGTGGCACTGGTGTCCTGTCTGTGTCGGCTGCAGGATCTGGATTATCACTGCAGTTCTTCAGGAGGTTTGAGATGGAAGTGGAGCTCTGGGTGCTCGTATCCACTGCAGGATCAGGTTTGCCTTTCTCAACTATTGACTGAGTGTTTTAAGCTAATAACAACAAGAGAAAAGCTCTAGATGTTATTTGATCCTGTCCCAGTGGGTTCATCTTGCACAAAAGGCAACCCAAGGCCCTTGTGAAGACCTCCAGGAATGGTGACTCCACCACCTCCATGGGAAATACCCCAGTACATACAATTATAGAATCAACAAGGTTAGAAGAGGCCTCTAAGATCGAGTCCAACCATTAACCTGTCACTGCTGGAACTTATAAACTCTAAACCATATCTAACCCTAAACCAGATGTGAGTGTGGATGAGACATGATGCTGAGAAAACATTGCATTATGTTTCTTCTGTAAAGAAAAATCTCAAGCTCTTAGGCAGAAGGAAACATTCCTGTACTTTTCCAGTGGTTCCCGAAAGAAAGTAGAGCTCCTGCCTGTTGCTGGAGCAGGGCCCAGCTGGGGATGTGCAAGGCATCAGGACAGAAATAGAAACTCTTGCAGGATTAAGCCTCTTAGCTGGAAAAGTGGTTGATGAATGAACAGCAAGTCTGTTTGGTTATGGTATTCGTGAAGTTGATGTTATCTTGCCTAAAGAAAACAGTTTGAGTAGTGAAGGATAACAGTGAATAAAAGGAGTTTGGCTTGGGGACAGAGATCTGCTTGAGAAGTTCTCTGTGCAGATAATTAGGGTGTAAGGTCACTCTTTACAGAATCACAGGATCAGTGAAGTTGGAAGGGATCACAAAGGGTCATCTGGTCCCACCTCCCTGCTCAGGCAGGGCCAGCCCAGAGCTCATGGCTCAGGTTGTGTCCAGAGGGTTCTGGAACATCTCCGATGAGGGAGAATCCACGACCTCTCTGGGCAATCTGTTCAGTGCTCAGGGACTGCACAGCAAAGAAGTTCTTCCTCGTGTTCAGGTGGAACTTCCTGGGCAGCAGTTTCTGCTGTTCCCTCTTGTTTGATTGGTTTCCCCCACTGAGCAGAGTCTGATCATCCTCTTGGCACCTCCTGTGCCAAGAGGACTTGAATGCATTCCTGAGGTCCCTCTCAGTTGTCTCTTCTCAAGATTGAACAGCCCCAACTCACATCACTGAGGTGCTCCAGTCCCTTCAGCATCTTCCTTGCCCTCCCCTGGACCTGCTGCAGGAGCTCCATGTCCCTCTGGCCCTGAGGAGCCAGAACTGGACACAACACTCCAGGTGTGACCTCCCCAGGGCTGAGCAGAGGGACAGGATCCCCTCCCTGACCTGCTGGCAATGCTCTTCCCAAAGCATCCCAGGATTCCATTGGCATTTTTGGCCACAAGGACACACTGTTGGCTCAAGGACATTTCCACCTCAGCCTGCAGGTCCCTGGGGCACCAAAAGGCCCTTTGAAAAGGAAATTCACTTGCAGTACAATTTATGGATGTGAATTTTCGAGATCTGACACTTTTTCTGCTGTTTTAAGGATCTATTAAGGGGAAGAGACTTGAAACCTCTTCCTGTAGAGGAATGGGAAAGTTCCCCCTAAACCCACAGGAGAGCAAAGCTCTCAAGTTCAAAGCCAAAACTGCTGTTTGCTTGGGGGAAAAAAAGGTGTAAGAATTGGCTCAAACTTCTTTTCAAGGCTCAGCATTGAGGGTTAGAGTTGAACCTCCACTCTTAAAGGCATTTGGGCAGCTGTAAATAGAAATCCTCAAGGGAAACTAAGTCCGTGAATGTGAAGAAATAGTATCCCCAAACCCAAATTTGAAGCTATTGTACAGTAAATCTATTTATATATGTATATCTCAAAGCATTTTGATTGTACCTGAGGTATTTCACCCTGTTTATTTGACAGGGACAAAGATTATGGTAAGTGCATTTCAG